AGAAAAATTGGAGCTGAACAATGAAAAAAATTTGCGGAGAAATGCTGTTAATTCGCTTGTTTTATATATGAATCTTAAATTTCGCATTTAACAAACGGGAATACATTCCAGACTTATCATCAAAAATACACGTGGAGACGGGTGAGTGGATGAGGAGATTTTCTGGATATTTTCGCGTTTTAAAAACGCTAAATCTATTTTTCGCGCTTTGAAAACGCTAGAAATTTTGTTTCGTGTTTTCAAAACGCTAAATTCTTATTCGCAAAATTTACAATTTTAAACTTACAGATTTTCGCATTTTTTAAACGCGAAAATAGTTTCTCGCGTTTTGAAAACGCGAAAACAAAGTTTCGCGCTTTGCAAACGCGTATTACGTTTTTCGCGTTTCTAAAACGCGAAAAACTGATTTTTCTTTTTTTTTTTTTGCTTTCGACCCGTTTGAAGCTGAGTGCATGGAATTAACATTATTCGCGTTTGTGAAACGCGAAATGTTAATCTAATTTGATTGTTTCGCGTTTTCAAAGCGCGAAAACATTATATTTGTCTACAAAATAAACCCTACACATTTTTTGTTCCACACTTTTGGGGTTGGCTCACCAAAAAGTCAAGCACCCGAGATTTTGGTGCCAATTGAGAGTAGGGCGGTAGATCTGGAACATGGGTTGACTCGAGGGGAAAAGGGGGAAACGTCGGGATCTGGAAAAGGGGCAAATTTGAATCAAGAATCCAGTACTCTGAAGGAATTATTAGGGATTCATCCAGCCAGAAAATTGAATTGGCAGGAAGGCAGTGGAGAAGGAGACCGGAAACCAGCTACTGTCGGGGAAGGTTTTGACGTGAAGTTTTGAAGAAGGTTGGGGCCTCTTTTTTTGCCCTTTTCCTCAAATACTACACGGAAACGACAACCTCACATCATTAATTATCTCTGAAATATCCAAATATACTTTTACATTGTGCTTAAGAATTCCAATTATAAATGTAAATCGAGCAATGGAGAGTGTTCATCACGAGTATCAACAGACAAATAAACAGATTTCTTAGCATGATAACAACCAATTATGTTTCTCACTATCTTTTTGACGTTGAGCTTACTCCCGGAAATCCAATTTCCGTATATCTTCTACGTCTAAATGATTGTGTTGTTTATTTTATTATAAATAAATAATTTTTTTAAATAAACATATGTACATATGTATATATATATATATATCACTCCTCGATAAAAACGAAGCAATCCCAACAATATTGAGTCTTCCAACGAAGATAATGAAATCTCCTGTTTCAGTATGAGGGGGAAAAAAAATCTTCTTAGTCCATCAGCAATAGTCATGTTCGTATGTCCTTCCATAAAAATAAACTGCATACAATAACAACATTTTAAAAACTTTGAATTAAAAATCATATGCCTATCAAGCGTGGTAACATCTTGGGACGACGTAAAGGTCCTTGTTTTAGGGGGGTAAAAAAAATTAAAGCGACAACTTAACACCGAAAGTTTACTCCCTTTGAGATAAAAGTTTAGTCACCTTTGAGCATTCGCACAATCAAATTTTAATTTACTCACCTCTGATATGCAAAGTTTACCCACCTTGGAGAATTTGCGCTTGCAAAGATTGCTCATAGAAACTTCAAGATCTGAATTATCAAAACAACATTAATTGATCGAGTCAACTTCAATAATGCTCTGCCTCCCGACGCAAGTTACGTTGCAGCTTAACCTACACATACTCAGTCTTATCAATGGTCCCCGGCCTGTTTCTCCATACTTTTGCTTCCTCATCGCTGCTTCCACACGAAGACTATTGAAACCAAAGAGAGCGGAGGAATCAAGTTGTATTGTTACCGTGTTTTGCCTTTTAATGCTGAGCTTGAGGATTCGATTCCGACGCGGATTTAGGAAATTGACATGCACGTTATAATGAATGAATGAATTATGGAAACAGCGTTCAATGAGTCACTTTCAACAGTACAGCGGAGCATTCGTGCTAGGTTTTATTTGAAAATTGAATTGGTCCAAAGGAAAACAAAGAATGCAGTATGCTCTTTCCGATGAAGTTGGAATTTTGATCTAGATTTATATCCAGTCATCAACTTCTAACCACATTACAGCTGCACTGACATTTAATTTCGACAACCCATTGATTTTGTGAAGTTGCTCTGAAGTTTCCCAAAACTTTTTGCTCTTACTTCACCACTAAGTCTGGTGGCCCGAGAACTCAGAATTGATCCGATGGCCGCGAATGATGAAACGATGACCGAGGAGTGGGACATCGGTGGATTGTCTCAGTCGTCTTCTTAATTATTTCTTTCCTCAGTCTCCGTCTTTTTTTAATGTTTTGGTTTAATCTATGAAATTGGAAACCTGGCTGCCCTTCTCTCCCTCTCCCAAACCCTACTACTCCAAGAAAAAACACTTTTACATTTCGTCATCTATTAAGTGTGATTATAATCCTTCAAAATTTATTCTTTAGTAGGTTGTATAGGTTGCTGGTTGGGAGTAAAGCAGGTTAATTGCAGTGTTGGGTTCATTATGCGTGCAACTAGAATATTCAGCTCTTACAAGTCTAATTATTAAACTTATTTATCAAATGAGATGTGTTGTATTCTTGTGATATGTCTATTGTTGGTTTGGATATATGTACATATATATATATATATATATATATATATAGATATATACATAAGTTAAGCCATTATAAACACAACAATATAATTTGAATTTGTTATAAGTTCTATTGTTGATCGGTTGATTTGTACCGTCAATAGTAGGACTATTTTCAAGAAATTAATGGTGAATTGCGGCAAATTCTTCCATGGAACGGTACTTTTTGTGGATTCCCATGGATGTGTGTTACGCTTATAAAAAAACGTGAGTGTAAGGCAGTTCCAACCAGATTTATAGTAAATATTTTTTTTAGACTTAAAGTTACTAAATATTATTGGAGATAAAAAGGATATATAGGTAATACAAAAATAATGGATATACAATACCAAAATTATGGATAAGCAGTTTCAAAAAAAAAAAAAACAACAACAACAAGCAATGGAGTTTGAACACAATGGATAATTGTAGCAGAAATGATAAATAAACACCACAAAGACAATTGATGGACAACACCAAAATGAATAATAATATTGGTTTGTGATGGAGCACTTGTTTAAAAAAATGATGATTTTTGTGTTGATTTAAATAAAGTTGTAGTATAAAAATGATGGACATTCTATTTTTTCATAATGTTCATAATTCAACTTTTACCTCTAGATGTCGTTCTTGTTAAAGAAAAGGATGAATTTTTGTTATAAGAAATTATAGTAACTGTTGCAAAAATAATGAATATTTAGTATAAAAACGGTAGAAAAACAGTACAAAAATGATAGATAAATAACAAGAAAACGTTGGATTTTAATTAAGAAAAAAATTATGGACTTCTTTTTTATTTTAGATAGAGATCCTGGTAAAAGATGATGGATTCCTTTAGATTTTCGAAAGAATTATTGTATAAAAATAATGAACATTCTGTTTAAGAAGTATCGCATGAAGTACGAAAATTTCCGATTTTCTTTTAAAGTGGCCGGTGGTTTTGAAAGTGTCCTTTCCCCCTTTTTTCTAACCTTCAAAGAAAAAAAGAACTTCAAACTCTATGCATGTTTGTTTCCTCGAACAATATAATCAAAATTATTCTTCCGATTGTAACATATGAGATCAAATAACCGCATTAAAAAATGCTAGACAAGTTGACAACATTTTGCAAGCTTAAAAGGCAAGAACGTGTAAACTTCGAGATAAGTTTACTTCGAGATAACATTTTGCAAGCTTAAAACTTTAATATATGATTGTTTGGCAGTCTGACCTTTTAATATGATTCGAAAATGAATTTTTATTTTGCATAAAATATTTGTCCTTAGATGAAATATTGTCTCTATATAAAACGTTTAAATATTATATGTAATAGAAGCTCGATGCAAAATGATCCCAAAATTATCTTGAAATGATCACAAGGTGACAATTTTCGTTTCCCGCATCTGATTCATAGCATACATCTTATATGTAATTTGTTACATTCGTTTAACAGGATATTTCTTTATCCAGTTAGTCGTGAATGTAATTTAGTAGTTCAACGCATTTTGTGAAATCTGTAGTGTACACGAAGAGGTCAATTCACTCGTCTTTTTCAAAATTTTCAGTCAATCACGCGGAATGTTTTCCATACATATGAATATATTATTGTTTTCCTAAAAAAAAGAAAAGAAAAGAAAAAACCATCGTCTTACCTAAGCAGACCCAAATGAATTAAATTTTCCGCCCTATGCTTCGTGGGACTTTTCAGTCCGTGTTTTATAATATACTTTTATAATAATAATAACTAGATGCTTGGCCCGGACAGATGCCCGGGTGCCCCCTTTAAATTACTATTTTATTAAAATCTAATTGAATTACTATTTTTTGAGGAATTAATTTGGCGTATATATCATTTATGTTATGGTTTGGGGCTTAAAAAAATATACCTATAAATCTAAGGTTATAAGGGAATAATAAATAATTAATTTATAAGGCATTATTCTTAATTGCTGAATTTAGGTATTTTTATTTTTTGTTTATATTAAGCCTGCAAAACTATACGATTGGACATTTGAATTTGAATTAATATATCCATTCGTTTGAAATGTAACTGATCCTTATTTGTAGTAAAACATGTGTTTTTTTTAAAAAAAAAATTATATAGCTTCTAATTAAAAGAGACTTACACGTGGCAAAAAGACTTCTGAAATCTGAAATATGGTGCATTGGAGCCAAAACAGATGCATACGTAGTTGCCACATAAGCTTCATGTCTTCTGCTTTAATAGGGTAAAAGGGATAACATATAATAATCAAATTGATACTATCAGAATCAAATGAATACGCGCGCACCTATAAAAACCACGCCTATAATCGAATTCTTTGCACAAGCTCTTTGGTATTTTCCAGCTTCAGTCCGACCATCATAAGCTTTTGTTCCAATGGGTTAGTCTGTGTTTCTATAACAAACTAGCTTCTCATGCATGAAAGTGATCGAGTTCTTAAGAAAGTTTTTATATGGAAAAGGCCAAAGAATTTATTAAGTGTTAGATTTTTTGGGAATTATTTTCATAAGTACTATAGTAATAAACGTAAACTTAAAATGTATTATTTGCTGCAGCTGCACAGGTCTACGATGCCGCCGAGCTGATAAGTGGAGATGGTACCTTCAACGATGATATCGAACAAGATCTGAATCTAGCCAGTGAGAATGATCGCATCGGTGCCGTTTCCGTGATTGGTTTGCAAAGTTCCGGTAAATAAATTATTATTTACTTTGTCGTATTAAATTGATCTAACAAACATGATTTCGGTTTTGTGGCGAGCAAAGTGTGTGTGTGTGAGTGTGTGTGTGTGTGTGTGTGTGTGTGTTTTTTTTTGTATAATTGGATTCTAATATCTGACTTAATACATCATCTCATAGTTATTCCTACCATTCAAAAGACATAGAGAGCACAGTTTGGGTGAGCTTTATTTTCTTAAATTACTCTTTAACTGGTTTCAGGAAAGAGTACACTTTTGAATAGATGCTTCTTTGCCAACTTCCAGGAGATGAATGCTAGGCAGGGACGGTATGTATCTCTCTAAATTCACCGTGTAATTAAATATGTGTTCTCCTTTCACATGGAAGATTTTGAATGATTTTTACTGAAAACAAATTACGCAACAAATGGGGTTATTTCTTTCAGTCACCAAACCACGAGAGGAGTTTGGGTAGCAAAATGCTCATTGCCCGGGGGTGACCAAAAAATCCTAGTCATTGATACAGAAGGGACTGATGGCTTAGAGCGAGAAAATGAGGTTATTTCCATTTCTAATTTGTTTTACGTTATGGTGAAATGCATTTTCCGAAATCATTAGTCGGCTCGCATTTAAGTTCATTTGCTTAGCTTAATTACTCAAACAAAAAGAAATCAATTAAATTATATATGCAACTAATACTAAAGAAATACTGAATACTTTTGTGAATGCAACTATATTCTATTTCTGTTGTTTCATTAAAGTCGACCGAAATAATTAATTCCTGATTCGGCTCATGATCTTATTAGTGAATCCTCTATCTTCTTTTTGGCAGGGAAATGGTGCGTTTGTTAGAAAAACCACGTATTTTGCCCTGGCCACGTCTAAGGTGATCGTATTCAACATGTAAGTTCATCCAATATTCTAGAACGGTGTCGTTTCTCCCCCCCAATCAATCTCAAACTTTCTATATATGCATAAGAAACTAGCTAGAGCATTTCTAAGTATTCATTTGAGAGTCTTTTTTTTTTTTTTGTCTTGAAGACAAAACAAACTAATTCGGACCTTTCCATTAGTTACAACAGTATTTACACCTTGCCATAAAAGCTTCATTTTTAGTGAATATTATGACATCCCCCCAACCGAAAAATCAATTGCTCATCACTTCTTACAATAATGAAGAGAGTCAGTAATGAAATAAGATATTACCTTTATCCCAAAATTATTATTCAGTTTGATATTTACTTTTAGTACAATTTGAACAAAAAATAAAAATCTAAACTGAACAATAATTTCGGGACAGAAGAAGTATATATATTCACTGAGGAACGACAACAAGGTGGAGTCTAATGGTAAGACGCCTCACCTTTGACCAATAGATTACGGGTTCGAGTCACACCGGGGTAGATGGGGAACCACTATTAATCTTCTTAAAAAAAAAAAAATATTCACTGAGGAACATGTTTTGAACTTCAAATTTCAACAGGTGGTACAACTGTGTTAATCTTAACAATGGCGGGAGTCGACCGCTCCTGGAAACAATGTTTCAGGTTATAAAACTTTTTTTTTTTTTTTTTGAAAAAGAGATTATAAAACTTATTCCCTAGAATATCGCACAGTAATTTTATTTTTGGCAATTTCATGAATAAGATTGACGTCTTCATTTCCAGGTGATGGCCCGAAACTTTAACCCTCCAAGACGGGTGCATTTAGTAATTGTGATTCGGGATAATCCCGAAGAGGTAAATATTGATGGATCAATTAATCAAGAGATTTGGAAACACGCGGAAACCCTTTCAAATATTTTTACTGACATATATATATATATTCTTGTCAAAATTATCAGTCCCAGTTGAACACATTGACAGAGCAGTTGCTGCAATACCTCCACGGGGTAAAGACCATGCATGTATCACTTGAAAGATTTCAATATATTACTACTTTTGTCCCAAAAAAGTAGTCAAACTTAATATTATTATTTTTATTGTTTTAAGAGAGGTAGTAAATTTTATGTCCAGGAGTTAGTAATATTAATTATCGGGTGTTCTCTTAATTCCACAGATCTGGAATGATATATTCTCTGCTCAAGAAGTTAGAACGAGTCCAGTGCTGGAAAATTACCTAAACGTGAGACAAATTAAATTAACCTAGACTTTCTTTTTCGGGTTTGAAGAATTTTTACAGATTCTTGTTATTAACAACATGACATTGATGATGACGTGTTTTGACTTTGGTTGTATGGTTCATAAACGAATTGACTTGTCTGCAGGTTCAAGTGGTGGCTATGCCACATTATAGGTACGAGAGTGAAGCGTTTGACAGGGAGGTATGGATACTACGTGCAGAATTCTATTGTGAATCAAATCAGACTTTTAGAAATTAACAAAATTCTAGGAGTAAACAGTAAGTTAACACTCTTGTTACCTAAAAATTAGGTTGTCAGCTTGAGAGATCTAATTTTTAACTTGCTTCGGAACGATGGATACCTTCCAGCTGAATTTATTGACCTCGCAAGAAGGAACTGGCGCGACATCCAGAATGACAGAATCCTCAACACCGATTTAAACCGGGTACGTAAGTACAGCCCCAACATCACAATTTCATATTCCTTTCTTTTGTACATACATGTCTACTTGGTTCAACTTTTTTTTTAACTGTGTTATACCCCCTCTGTCCAAACAAAAAAAAAAAAGAAAAAGAAGTCCAATATTAAGTTTTTTACTTAAAACTAGTGCTATCTCGGTTCCAAGAAAATATAGCTTACATTGAATTTTTAAATTTGTATTAAAAATTATACAGATTTTAAATCGAGATGTGGACTAATTTTCTTTCGGTACAGTTGAAGTTCTTAAATTAGTAATTGTTCTAAAGAATCAATACATAAAAGCAGGATCGACATACGCATGCAATCTATGCATTCTGACTGTTTACCACTAATAAATGATCCAGATAGCAGTTCATGACGTTTTCTGTAATGGTACCAAAGAGGAAATGCTTCACAGGTTTGGTGAAGACGAGGTACCATTTTTCTAGCACTAATAATATGTTACTGTTTCCTTGCCCGAAACTCTAGTGCACTGTTACCATGGGGTTGTCCAGGGCTAAAACACATAAACACACAAAACTAAATGTGTTTAATTTATGTTGATTAAACATAAAACTATATTGGAATGCAGGTCTGGCTTATGATAAAGGAAGCAGTAGATCATGATTTGTTTCTACTAACGCTAAACTTTGGCAACCAAGTCAATTCAATCATCCAAGAATACCTATCCCAGTAAGTAACTCCATGCCAAGGTAAAACGTTTCTTCTCTTCAACCAACGGTTATTTAATACTTCTCTCGTAGATACGATGAACAAACTATACATCTCCATGAACAAGCACGCAATGGACGCAGAGACCAATTGATTCGAGAAATTTTAAAGGTAAATATGATTCTTGTGCTTACTGTCTATTGTTGTAATTATATAGTTACGGCTGTAACTTTGTGTTAGCACAGTGGCGGAACTAGGATTTTGGATTAGGGGGTGTGAAATGAAATTAAATGGAGTAAGGTTTTTAAATACAGGAAAATATTCAGTCTCAAGACAAACAGAATATATCTTTCCTTTTCTTCCAAATGTAAATTACAAATTTTTAGAAACACATCGTACTCTTATATTTATTTTGCAAGTTGAAGTTATATATTATGAGATTCAATTTTCTTCAATATACACTTTACATGATTCAGTTAGTAGAAACAAAAGTTAACTCATTGATTTTATGCATAGTTCATTCTACCACATTAAAAGTACTACAAGAAGAAAATAATATGATTAACTTGAATTAACATCAAGGTGTATCGTTCTTATTGTTTCAACTTAAGTTTTTTTCAAAAAAAAAGTTTGCTACATATCATATTTTTGAAGTTAAGATTTACATATATTTAGTATACAAAAATATATAGTATTTCAAATTTTTGTACATAAATATTCAAAGGGGGTGCGAAAATGAATCTGTTATATTTTTTTTCTTAGTAATTATATTTAAATTAGTAAAAAATGAAAAACCGAGGGGGCGTCGCCGCACCGGCTGGCCATCCCCTGACTCCGCCACTAGGGTTCACTCAAGCCTATTTAAATGTATATCTGTACATAATAAAATCAATCAAGTCATTTCCTATTATTCTAAGTTGGTATCAGAGCTAGGGCCTTTTATACCCATTAATTCTATCTTAAAATTGCTGAACTATTTTAATGTTATGTCAATAGGAAATTTAAAAAAAAAAAAGAAGTCTTTTTTCAGCATAACTATACAGTACAAATAAAACTCTTATTTTTGGATGGAGGGAGAGAAGCATATATATATATATATATATATATATATATATATAATATGTGTCTTGTTCTTATAGATGTACTCTTAAGTTAAAGAGGTTACACAAAGATATTTTTTTATCATTTTTTTTAAAAAAATTAGAAGAAAAAATATTCACTTTAATTTGTTTCAATTATTATTATTATTCTTGTTGTTGTCGTCGTTGATTTGCCTCTTTATTCATGTTCATCGACTCGTCAAGTTTTCAAGTTGAAATGGATTGGAGACATGACAAGATGTGTGTTTCTTTCACAATTCTGATCTAACTTTTGCGTTAGGTCTTGTTTTAAAGTTTTTTTTCTTTTCCCCTTTTTGTAAAGAAGGTTGATTTCATTATCATTTTACCATTTATAAAGAATTTCGTGCCCAAACTTACATATGCCCAGCCATCCCACTATATCGAAAGCCAAATCCCTAGGATTATCATTAAAAGCCAAAAATTATAAGCTTTTGTGATTCTTACGAGCTACTTCTGGATACAAATACATTCAATCACAACAAGTTACCACTTTTGAAGTATTAGGAACAATTTAAATGGAAGCATATCTAGTTTTAAGATGAAAAATATTCTGTAATGTTAAATTCAAATGAATTTTGCTTCATGGGACGGAGAAAATTTCAAACCCATATTCAAGTCAAAATCTCTTGAAAGTATTATACTTAATAGCTCGTTTCCTTTATTTTGATTTGGGAAAACATAAAGGAATTTATTTTCGTGGGAGTTCTTAATCAGTTCTCCTTTTTGTAATGAACTATATATTTAATATGTTATAGTAAGCCACTGAATTTTCACGACTATGCGGTACTAACTGCTGGCAATGTGTGTCAGTGTGATAATTATCATATGTAATAGTTCATTGATCATTACTTAATACACGCCATTCTATTTTCTAAGTATGTGTTTTGTAATCGCATTTCATGATCAGGAGGTTGAGCCTACATCCGTTTGTCTAGTGCAAAAACAAAGCAAAGCAGCTATAGCAAACTTTGCCAAAGAAATTGGAGATAAGCTGACAGGCAAAATTGAAATCCTGGATCCAGAGAGGCATATCACCGAATTCGAGAATCTCCTCCAAGGTAGAGTAAAAAAAGAGATAAAAACTCGGAATGAATTATGTTCCCAATTTAATGAAGCAAAATCAGAAATTAACACGGAGAGAAATAATATATTTTTTTATTTTAAAATCAACTCAATACTACATCATCTATTCTTTTTTATATGTCGTTTTAAGGTTTAATAATTTTTTTTAAATATATGTCGTATTTACACATCATAAAGCATATTTGACCATTTTCATCCTTGCATTGGAAATGAAATAATATTTATAATAAATTTTTATATGTTCGTGAGGAGCTATATAGACAATAAATAAGAGATTTTTTATATTTTAACTATACTAATTAATGTTTAGTTTGTTTTGATGAATTCTCCAGAGAAACATAAAAAAAAAAATGGAGGGAGTACTAATTTTACTATCAATCTAGCTAGCTACATTAGTCACACAATGTGCTTAACAGGTAGCTGGTTCTTAATTGTCAAATTCAACTATGCTCTATTCAAGTCCATTTAGATTTTTGTATTCTTTCTTAACTCTGTGTTTCTAATTTTAAAACTCTACATCAATCTTGCAACGAAACCCTTGAAAGGTTTTAACTTAGGCTTAATCTTCCCCTAACAACTTAATTATTATTGAGTACTTTTAACGCAACTAAGACTTACAGACGTACGTACGTACCAACCTAGTCTATATAGAAAATCACTAATACGTTTTCCTAATTCCATCAACCTCGATTTATGTTTTTCACTAATACGTTTAGCAACTGAAAATATTTCCGACGTACAGCTTAGCTTATACTTACCCATATTATAGAGCACAATGAATATATATTCCATTCGCAGATGGCCGCATCGATCATGCAACCTGGAATCACCCTTCTACAGAGTTGGAGAAACTGCGAAAAGAGTTGGATGATTTCAAAAAAGAAGCTGACGATATTTACGATTTGATACTTAAGAAGGAGGTATGCTATGAACTCATTTCGTTTTTGTTTGTTTGTTTTTGTGTTTTCTTTTTCCCCCTTTTTTGGTTCGTGGTAACTTCCCTGATGAGTGATTGATGATGAAAAAACCTGCAGGCAAACCAAGTCTCTTTAGCAAAGAGTGTCTTAATTTTTGCTTGCACTATAGTTTATACGGTCGGCACGGCTAGTTTTATGGTGGCTTACAGGGCAGCAGCTAAAGCCGTTGGAGTTGCCCTAGCTTCTGGGGAGGAACTTGCTATGGCTGTGATAACATTCCAGAGTGTTACGGCTGCATTAGTATCGGCTCTTCCCGGTGGAAGAATGGTTGTGGATGTGTATGAGTGGTTTAAGATCAGAGAGGAACTTAGGGAATCCCAAAGGCAGAATCCAACTGCAAGGAAGATTTGGGAGGAATATCAGCAACGGTAACTAAACACAACTCTCCTTTTTATCCTCAAGAGAGGATTAGAATAATGCTACTGCTTGTGTCCTAAAATAATATTCCCTCCAGTCTTTACAATGTATTTTGATTGGTCCTAAGTTTTATTTATCGTGTTCTTCTATTTGAAAATAAACCTTAAACATACTTTTTAACAATTTGAAGAATACAATAAATATGAAAATATGTTTTGAATGCCTTATTTTTTATTAGAAAAATATAATAAATTAAATTTATGACAAATTAGAATGTCTTATAATAATGACCAGAGAGGGAATAGTTCACATTGAATTTTAGAATTTGTACTAACTCTATACTCAACATGGAATATTTACAGAGAAAATATGTCTTGCCTTCTTTGTTCAATTTTCCTGTTCTTTTTACGTTAATTAATTGTTTTTCCTGTTTCAACAAGGGAATCCCGTGGAGAAGGTCGCCCTCCAAGGAGCATATGGGCGCAGGGGAATCATAACTCGTAAGGCATTCTTCAATTTCATTTGTTGTTTATAGTAGTACATATAATCTTAAAATTTTTCCTTTAAACTTGCTTAACAATAACAATATTTCCACGAGCAAGGCAATATGCGGGTATTTCTCTATTAGCAATTTTGTTATTATTTGCTATAATTTGTTGTTGATTTTTGTTCGTCTTTCTTTTCCTTTACTATATCCAAAATTTAAGGTTATCCCGTGGGCAAGATCTGGCCATGCAGATGACAGAGCTTCAAGAAATTCACAGGTATTAAGACACTCATTACTTCCAATTTTTTTTTATCACTCTTCGTTTGCCATAGTTTGTTGTTAGGATTCTTTTTCTTGTGTTGCCTTTTCCTCTCTTTTCCTTCACTTTAAACTTGCTACTTATATGTTTCTGCGAGGAAGGCCATATCATTTTCATTTCGATATGGTTACCACATATATGACTAGAGAATTGCGATCAGACTTTCACGACAGGTAAGCACTCTTACTTATCTGACTACTTTCATTAATTAATAAGTACATATTTATCAGGATTTTCTAACTTAATTGCTCGTCTGTTTGTGCGAGGAAGTCCATCCCGTGGACCGGGTGGGATATAGGAGAAGTAAGCCACTCTCTATTTTCTGTTCAACTTTTTGCCTTGAATTTTTTTAATGTTGTTTGGTTGTTTTTTCCTTAATATTTTCTTTTCCTTTTTTTATCCCTTTATTTTTTGATTGTTTTTTCTTCTAGGAGAACTTATTATTACTAAATCCGTCCTATAAAAATAATCCACATTGAGTTTTCAAATTTGTGCTAAAAATATTATAAAACTCAAAATTCAATATACACTATTTCTGTGGGACGGATGGAGTATTTTTTTTATGCTGGGAGGGGAGGTTGGAAGACAGTTTTCTGAATAGGATGACATTTAATAATAAACAGAACATCAAAAGACAAAACTAATATCAAACCATATGAGATGCGTTAGTCAATTACGTGCCTGCTCGCAACCGGAGAAATTGGATAGAAACATTTAACAAGTAGTAGATTCTTAAAATTAGTAGATTTCAGGAGAAAGATGACATGTAAAAATAAGGAGCCTGCAAAATAACAAAATGGGCTACAGAAAAAGTTAATTTTAGATAACACACATAATATAAACCTTGATATATTGAAAAAGATGGAAATACGAATGGGTACTCATTACTCGTAAACTGAATAGGAAGGGGAGATAGGGTCATTGCCTCAAACCTAATGTATACCAAATAAAATTAAAATGACTTCACTAGAATGAAACTTTGGAAAGATTTTGGAGTCTTTGATCTTAATCAACAGAAAATCTACTATACAACGGTTGTACCAAGTAGCATTGTGCAGCAAAAAACAAAATATAGGCAAAGATGTAAATTTACCAGAAAAGTTAGCAAAAAAAATAGAGGGCCATTATGTTTTATTATAGAGTGGATGTAGTGCTCCACTAAAAGAAATAGGTACAAATGCTGTACAGTAATTTTTTTTATTTCCTAATTAATCCCTAAAAATGAAAGAAATTGTTATGTGCATCGGCTGCACAATCCTATGTGGCGCATCCTGACACATAAAAAAGAAATTTATGGTTAAAAATTAAAATGGACACATACGTAGAGGAAGGAAATGATGAATCTTGACAGGGTCTACGGATGTTATAGTTTGCAGATTGGCTGAAATGTTAAATTTGAAAAAAGATTAGGAAAGAGATTATTAAAAATAATTCAAAATACTAAAATTATAAAGAACATATGCATCTTGATCAATGTCGACATATAGTTGATATAAACCAAGTAAGATAAAGATTAATGTTGTCAGAAATAAACCAAGTTTAAATAGAAAATAATATTTTTGATATAATGTGGTAATTATTTATTCAGTTTATTTTTATTGGTATAAGAAGTAATATTAGGAGAAGAATCAGTTATTTAATTATCGTAGAATTTAATAGTTACGATTTACGAGTTATAAAAACGAAAGCTAGGTTTTTTTTTTCTGAGACGGTTTGTAAGACTTTCATGATCGTAAGTTTCAAAATATATTGTTTCGTGGAGTACATTAAAGTTTATTTTGTGGGTTTCTGCTGCGTTTGATTATAGATTTTTGGTTTCTACAAATTATTATTAACTTAACACAATAGTGAGATGAACGTTGGTTGCTGTTAATGCTGGGATTGCTTAACATTATAACGCAAGTACCACTTTTTCTTATTTCAGGAATTGATTCAGGCTTGCAAGCCTTTCTTGCTGTGCAAAGCAAATGTTAATTGCCTAATCGCATTATCAGAGTGGAGCTTTCTGAGTGGTTTAAGACTTTATATACATTATAATAAGTGTGCAGCACAGTACACACAGCTTGTTGAGTTTGATGACAAGATTGTCCATGATTCATGTTATTCTTGTCGGTGGGAGAGCGTGTATGTGTGTTTTCTCACAGGCTTCTTTTCTGAATGGTCAATGTGAACTGATCTATGTTTTGATAGCCTGGAATAAAAGCCCTTCCACTGGGTCTATTTTTTTAACGTATGAACTTTATTTGAGACTTGTTATTTAAAGAGCTATTATCTATCGGTTTACGTACTACTCCTTCCTTGCCATCTCAGCAGTAATAATATATTTTGACCTTCAAAATGGCAGCGAATGATGAATTAATGCACTTGATCTAATGAGTACTATATGTTGAATTTTTTTTGATAAAAAGTTTAATTTTATCACTATTGTGAAAAGTAACATCAATTTCTAAGGTAGTTATTGACAATCACAACTAGTCAAATAAATTCACATACTTAACACTAGTATAGCAGAAAATAAGATCGTACCCACAGAAAATAAACACTAATTACAAGGTATAAATTACTCCTATTATTATCTAGATAAATGATGATCTCAGATTTTCAATTAAAATAAAACTAAAGCTAGAATCTAAAATATGCAATTACTTTGAAAGGTTGAAAAAATCAAGTTGGGAAAACTTAGGACATTAGGTTCACCTACCGAATACTTGGTTTGGTTCAATTCATAAGTATTTGACTTTTAACTTCTATTAATCTCATAACGACTCACCTAATTAAGAACTATACACTCTCGTGTTATAATTCTCTTACTTAGATTAACCCTATGACTACTCTCGTGACTATAGGGATTAAACAAAAGCACGTTAAGACTATTAAGAATCAAACATTGCAAAGGTTATAATCTTAGTCTCGTAGCTAACAACCTAAGTCTATTATTTTTACGAACTAATACTAATCTTCCACTCGCGCTACTTCGATTAGTATCTTCAGACATGCAAATAGTGACCAATTACTTATACGAATTAAAACAAGAATAACAAATATTAACTAATGAAAAAGTCAAATAATATGAATCAAATAAACCAAATAAATCCGGCGGCTACATCAAAGCCTAGGTTAAAGGAGTTTAGCTACAAAACATCATCAAAAATAATTCAATCATATTTAGAGACATCATCCACATAAATCTGAAATTAAAATAATTAAAACTCAAAAACCAGGCCGAAGTAACCAAAAGGTTAAAATCAAATCACGGTTGCTGCTTGCTTCGGTTTGGTTCCCTCTGAAGCTTCTCCCTTACGGTTGGGTCTTCAGGTTCTTCTCGGATTGAGGATGTTTCAGATTTGATGGTGATGGAAGGTGACGGGCTGAAGATGAGATGGAGGCTGCTGGAAGTTCAAGGCTGATGGATGATGATGGTACGTGGGTTGCTTGGAGTAATGGTGAGGCGTGTGCTTCGGTGATGATGATTAAGGTGGTTATTGTGATGGATGGTGTGCTGCGGTAAGGTGCAGAGAGGGTGGCTTCGGGGTTGATGCGGCTGGTTGTTTTGATTGTTTCGGTCAAGGTTCGATGGTGTGGTGGTGTCCCAAAAACCCAAACGTAATTCTCTATTTATAGACCTCCGAATTTCCAATTGTTTGGAGATTAAGTTTGCTTGTTTCCCAATTAAATAACGGCTACACTCTCTTCCGAAAAATTCCAGCTCTTGGTCTCCAAGTCTTCAAGATCTCTAATTTCTTCCTAATCATTATTCAAATTCTTCAATTGTAGCCCTTTGAGTTGCTCTTATCTTCATTTTGGCTCAAAACTTCAACAATTCCTCCATTTGAGTACAAAACCTATACATAAAGATAAAATCATATAAATAGTATATTTGTACTCAAAACATATTGTAAAAATCACAAATTTGGGATATAATAAATAGGTACAATATAAGCACATCAAATACCCCCAAACTTGAATTATTGCTTGTCCTCAAGCATTCCCAAGAATTAAAACAAAAAAAAAAACATTAAATTATTTTATTACGCGGCCTTAGAGATTCAATCATCATATAACATAAAGACTTCAACTACCTCTAATATGCACTACCTAACAATATGCAAACCATATGCACTTTTAGCCCCCACGCTTGTGTGTGTGTGCGATCCATTTCTTAGGGACATCACTTTACATTTAACATAGAAAACAAAAGGTCTACTGCAA